ATGCAGTGAGAGGACAGTATTGACTGCAAAATKMAGTCCTTGCATTTTTCAGTCTAGTAAAAAATGACCTCCAAAATACATATTTCCTTTACAGAGAAGTCTACACTACTTGCAGGGTTCATGCAACATTTTCACSACAAAATTTCAAGACCTTTCAAGCACRCAAATGTGAGTTTTATAAATTYTAGAACTTTTTTAAGGATAAAGAGTTGCAAAGAAAGCATAACTTTCGACTATGGGGATTATTTAGCTTCAAAAAAGCCAGAGGACTACATTTAATGTGGTGTTCAAAGGAATAGTATTGCCACTTACCACTCATAACCTTGACAAGCTGGACACTTTGTGTTGCTGTTTCTGGCTTTTTAAAGATAGTTCTTGTTGGTGTCCCAGRTGTTTGCRTCATGGGTGAGACACTAGTCGGTGTCTTCACTGTAAGCGTTTGGGAGGWAGACAARGGAGATAGAATAACTTTTGAGTTTGAATTTTGGACGACAATTTTCTTAGTGGGCGTGGTCTGTTGTTGTCTTTGAACTGCTGGTCCTACGACCTAAAAACAAGTCTGATTAACAGGATGTGGCGTATTTAAACTTGAAATATTCTTGTAYGGTACCTTGATTTGGAGTTTTTGAGGACTTGCAGTTTCTTTTTTAACTGCTCCCCTCTACAAGGATTAAAAACATAAAACAGGTGAGTTCCAGGCAGTTAATTCCTGAGATCCGAGCAATGATGTTTGGCAGATCTTTTGTGCGATATGATTTCACAAAATATTGAGCATTGAATAATGTTATGTCATGTAATGTTATGTTGTTATGCTATTGTTATGTTGTTGTTATCCTATTCAGTTACACCTACTTGCAGAAAAGTTGTCATAGAAAATAGGACATTCGAATTTAGTAAAAAGGAATAAATGAAAACAAAACAAAAGAAAGCGTTCAGCCTCAGTGATCTTCTTTTGTCTTTTTAATTTACTTTACTAAAATACAAATGTCCTATTTTTTATGACAACATTTTCGCAAGTAGGTGTATGTTCTTATAAGTTATGTTGTGCTATGTTAGTTGTTATATGTTATGCTATGTTATGCTATGTTTTGTCATGTTATGTTGTTGTTATATGTTATGTTACGTTATGTTATGCTATGTTAGTTATGTTATGTTATGTTTAATGTATTCAAAGACTGTAATGCATTTTTGATACTGGATTCCATCCATATAAGTTGCTTAACAGACTAACAATTCAGAATAACTGATAAATCATATTTTGATTGATAATAATTACCTGTTGTTGCTGTTGCTGTTCCTTGCTCTTATTCTCAACTATTTGGATCAGCCTAACAGTCACATACAAGAAGGTTTTAAACAAACAGAATTGAATGATCAATATCAAAACCTGTGAAATACATAATACACTAGCACTCCTTATTTAGCCCTTATTGCATTGTTTTCTTTACTGTTTCTTTGTTTTTCGTGGGTTAAATGACTTCATTCTTACTAATGCTAAACATTGCTAAATAGAGCTTTATAGCTCATTAAAAAACTCATTCATAATTAATGAGTTATTAGGCCAATAGATTGAGCCTATTTGGTCACATGCATGGACTTTTGTATCTGATAAAACACTCCTTATTAGTAATCTTTAATATATAATTAGTGTTGGAGTTTTTTAAGCCACTTAAAACACTCGAGATCATGTTTTATCAGAGCCTTTGCCTCAAATCTTTATACCTGAAAAAACACTCTCTCTCGTGTTTTAAACTAGATACATTAATATACTAAGTATAGATTAGACAATAAAATGATGGAAGCAATAAAATTTGCCATTACTTCTTTATTTCAGCTTCTTTTTTCTTCAGTTCTTTGGCTTTCACTTCAAGCTCCAACTCTTTCAGCCTTTTTGCCTCCTTTAATATGAGAGATATGCGATGAATTAAAACAAGCAAATAAAAAAATAGCAATTCAAAAAAATTATCATAAGTTAATACATTCTCATAATTGTCTTAATACTGGATTGTAAGTCAATCAGTTAATCAGTCATTTTTCCGTCAAAACCGCACAGTTAGCCAGACAACAAAATCACACAGTTAGCCAAACACTTTTTCGTCRAAATACATAAGTTAAACAACTATTTTTTCGTCTAAGTTGAACTGTTAGCTAGGCACTTTGCCGTCTAAATTGACCAAAAACCAGACACCTTTCTGTCCAAGTCGGACAGTTGGTCAGACAAGTCATCTTATTAAGTCCGTTTAGGTAGACACTTTAACGTCTGAGTCCATTAGGAAACCAGACAATGTYGTCGTCTAAGTCAAAGAGTCAACATTGCCGTCTAAGTCATTCAGGCGGCCATGACAATTATTAATACAACCATTATGATATATCAGATACTAGAGTGTTCGCACTTAAAGCGTGAAACAAATAGTACTAATTACTACTAAAATAGTGTTGATCATATAATAGGAAACAAAGGAATTTGTATAATTTATCACCTATTTTATAGTATTTATATTCACGCATTTAGTGCGAGCACTCTAGTGTTAAATCAGTAATAATCTTATAGTATCAACTATTATTATCAAATTAAATCTTACCTTTTCCCTTTTTTTCTTTTCTTCRAGTTCTTTCTCTCTATATGAACAGTAATATAAAACAATATGATCAAAACCTAACTCTTTATAAAATCGATATTGCAAGATATTTAAAATCCAGTGGATAGAAACTGGTCRCTAATGTTTACCATATTTTCCATGAAAAATCTAAAACATGACTACAATTAATGCTATGTAGTTGACCAGTACCCTTAGTTTAAATCTTACGATATTTCTTTTTGCTCTAGCTCACAGTAGAACTCCATCCCTTTTGATATTACAATATTTCTGCCAGATTTTAAAGTCCCAGTAAATTAAACCGGCTCATAGTTTTCTACCCAGCTAAAACAGCCACCTACAATCGTTGACAAAATCCTTGGACTATTCCAGCAAATTTCCTCATTTTAAGCAACACCCACAGACAATTTCATCCCCCCTGACCCCCTAAATGCAATGTTGTCATTGATCATGTTACCATAGTACACAAGCATCCAAAACAAGACCCAACATTGATGAAAGGGGGCTAAGGGAAAAATTAAGGAGAAAGTTGTTATGAATAATTAACATATAATAATTCTATGGTCCAAGGTTTTTTGGAAATGATTTTAGTTAACAAATTGCAAATTTTCAATGTCCCTTCAAGGGCCGGATTAAAAAGGTTCCACAGCAATAAACAGATATAAACATACAATCTCTTCTTTTGCTTCTTGACATATGGCTGAACACTCTCATCTCCTTCTTCTTCCAGCTCTTCCGGCACGTCACATGATCTCCATCTCTCTTCAGGGTGATCAGTACAATACCATTTCTCTGGTAGGCTCTCGGGACTGATTCCATGTGGCAACTTTCTCCATTTTAAAC